TGATTATATGTCTAGGTGATATGTGACTATATAGACTATAAGATATACTTGAACATAAGAGAACAAAGTATAAGATATAGGATATAAACTATGGGGTTACATGCACACATGAATATGCCTTATATGCTAATATGTTATTTGATTATAAGAGAAGAAAACCTAAACTATATAATATGAGATAAATGAAGGAGTGCATATATGATATATGTTATGAGATAAGACATATATGGTTACATGAGACATGATATGATATATATGAGAAAAGGTATATATGATGATTTAAGTAAGCATATGAGATATTATATGACTATGTGAGTATGTGAAAAAGAATACAAGCATATGTGATAAGCTATGTGATATGTGAAGGTGAATCATATGAAAAGGTTCTACATGTAAGTGAACTACATGCCTAAATGAAATATGTGAAATGACATAAGTGATAAAGCCCACATTATGTGATATGAAAGCTAGAGGTATAGTTGGCATGCCAAGAGTCGAGGGTTACATAGGTCCTTCGGGACATATACATAGGTCATTCGGGAAAAAATTCACATGCCACTCAGTGGACCCTTATACGAGCTGTGATGACAACATATGTGCACAACCTCTATGTACTCACATATCTTTAGTTCTCACATGTGTACATGGGCTAATAAAAGAGATAATATAAAGAAATCTTGTATGATACTATGTACTTTGTTTGTGAAATATATGGTATGAAGTGTTACCAAAGTTAAATACAAGATTATATGTTTTAAATGGATTGATGATAATGATAACGACAATTATGTGATTAGGAAAAATGTTGATATATGTGCATGTATATAGTTGTAATATGAATTGTTATATGATGTTTGTATTATGTTAATATTTGAAATGTGAAATGTTCATGCATATTTAAATATCTAGAGTTCGATTATACGTTTTATATGCCTCACTAAGTCATAGAATTAGCGTGTGAATGTTTCACACGTAGGTTCCGAGAAGATTAAGGAGCAAAGAGGAGCAAGACAGGTCAGTTTCTCCTTTCCGGATATCAGATCAGAAAAGTCTTTTTATGTATTTGTTATATGAAATGTAGTTGGCATGTAAGATAAACGATTTGAATTGTATATGCTCTGATAAGTTTTGTAAATCTTTTATTTTGGAATAATATGATTTTTTTTATATTAATGAGAAATTTTCATTATTTTGCACAAGTAAAGGTTTTGAAAGTCAATGTGACACATCGGACTCGTATTCGGGTCGGATACGGGTGGGGGTGTTACATTTCAAAATTGTTGAATAGGTCCCCCAAATTTTTCTAAGGTTTGTAGAATTCTTCCTACATCATTTCTAGCCCCTACATAATTTTTCCAAAATTTTTCTCATCCTCTATAGTCAAGGCTAAATGCTTTGTATGTTCAATATTAGGGTTTTCATGATTTTTACTCGTTTTCGTTTCGATTCGATCATGAAATCAACCTCTATTCAACCTTATAAACTCTCTACAATCAAATACCTAATTAAATTTCATCAAATCATATCATCCCCTAATTTTTAGGGTTAGGCCGAAGTTGACAAATATATTTCTAGGAGGTTTTGATAATTATACAAGCTTGGAAATGATTCTACAACCTAAAGATCCTCAAAATCCATCATCAATTCCATAAACTCTAATATGAACATAAACCCTAAATTTTGGGATCTTAGAATATACACAAAATTAGCATGCAATAATGGTACCAAATGGTAGCGTTTTTCGCATAGAACAATTTTATATTTCACGACTTGATCCAAAATCCAGAGGAAATTGCTAAAAAATGAGAGAAAATTTTCTCTTACCTTGGTTGGTACTTATGACCTGGAGAGAAAGATGAACAAGGTTTACATGAAATTTTAGATTGATTTCATGTTAATTTATCCTTTATTTAAGCTTAAATGAATTTAAAATTCATTTAATTGGGAAATAACCATTTTACCATTAATGAAACCTTATATTTACCATCATATCAAGCCACATAAACCTTATCATCTTTCTAAAACCAAAGATGAACAAAATAATTCACCCTTTACCATTTTAATCATGCAACTTTCCAAAATTCTCAATCTTGCCATTTTAATCCAACGGTCCAAATTGAACATGGAAATAAATCCTCAAATCCAATGGTCCATATTATTTTCCATCATCTTAAAATTTTGAAATAATATTTTTAAGTTTAATTTATCAACCTTCAAATTTTCTCAAAATTTCTTTTCTATCTGATTTACTGAATTTTTATTGGATTTTAACACTTTCTAGTTTTTAACATTCAAGATCAAGAATTTAATTTCCATAAAACTCCACTCTCAAGAGAAAACTATCCATTTTTGGAATAAAAATTCTTTTGAGAAAATTACCATTTAGGTCTTTGAACTTCTTCCCATTTTATATTTTGGCCACTAAATTTTTAAAACTTACATTTTCGTCACTAACCAAAAAATTGGGGTATTAAAATATTTTAAAAATAAATATAAAATTATAAAATTAAGTATAAAATATTAAATTTAGTTTAAAATGTAAAAATAATAAATTTTATTTTAAATTTTTAAATATTGTATTAAATACGATTTATAATACATATAATCTATTTAATTATAAAAATATTATATTTGTTTAACTGATTTAGGTACTCTTATATTTTATAATTGGTTTAGGTTCAAATCCTCATTTAAATGATTTTATTTCTTTGTTTTTCTATAATTAACAATATTATATGATAAATAAAGTTTATTGCAATACTTAACCAAATGAAGCATTGGCGTAGTGACTTCGGTGTTCTTCTTCTAATCATGTGACCTAGGCTCAAATCCTACCAAATGAAGTTATATTTTGACTTATTTTATATCTAATCAGGAGGTGGCACATGCCACCTTTAATTGAATAAAAATAAATTTAATTAAATAAATTAAAATTTATATAAAAACCTCTAATCAGGGTTGACATGTGTCAGATGTGTCATGTTCATATATTAACACGTGTCACCTTCTGATTAGATGGTTAATTTATCAAATAAAGTTAAAATTATGACCAAATTGGTTAAATGTACAAATATTGAGAATTAAATAGTGTTTCCATTAAATATTAACAGGAGTGGTTATATTGAAATCAATTAAATAGTTAAGTAGAAGTGGAAAACTAGTTATTCGGATCGGGTTCGGGTCATTTCGGTTCGGGTTATTTCAATTTAGATTTAATTTGGGTCAGGTTTGGGTCAGATCGGGTCATTTCGGGTTTCGATTTTATTCGAGTCTATAATAAGTCGGGTCAGTTTCTGGTATCGGGTCAGGTCAATATCATATCAATTGATTTAGGGACGGGATCAAATCAGATCATTTTATTTTCGGGTCATGTTAATATATGATCAACTATTTTCGGTTTAGGTCAACTTTGGATATTCAGGTCAATTCATGTTAGTTGGGTATAAGTCAAATCAAATTATTGATATATTTTTGTAAAAAAGATCGGGTTTAGGTAAATTAAATTCGAGTTAATTTCGGTTCAGGTTATTTTCTATTTGGGATATTTTAGTTCATGTTACTTTCGGTTCAGTTAAATTCGAGTCGGTTTCAGTTTGATTCGGGTTACTTTCAGTTCGAGTTACTTTCGTTTGGCTAAAATTCAGGTTGGGTTCGATTCGTTCGGTTTTTACGGGGTTTAGGTCAAATTTGGGTCATCATTTTTGGGTTTATTTCGAGTCTCGGTTCGAGTAATCGGGTTCGAGTCAAATTTGCCAGGTTTATAGTTAAGCGGTCATGTTGACTCAATGTTGAAAATAATGGTTATAATGACACCAACCCCATAGTTGGATGGTCATTCAAGTAGTTTACCCTTTAATTTTATATCACCAAAATTTTTAAATATAAATTATTATTATTCTTCTCGTCTTATTACTAGAGTAAATTATGCATTTAGTACTTAAACTATTAATTTTGGTCATTTTTAGTAGCTAAACTTTCATTTTTTTCAAAATCATACTTAATTTTTAGTTTTTATTTTATTTTAGTGTCCTGTCATTAAAAACTTATCATTAAAAACTTAACACGTTTAGTACTTAAACTATTAATTTTATTCTATTTTAGTACCTAAACTTTCAAATTTGTGTCATCATGTTCGGGTTTATTTCGAGTCTCGGTTCGGGTAATCGAGTTCGTGTCAAATTTGCCAGGTATATAGTTAGTCATAGGTGGTTATGTTGACTCAATTTTGAATATAGTTAGGTGGTCATATTGACACCAACCCCATAGTTGGATGGTCATTCAAGTAGTTTACCCTTTAATTTTATATCACCAAAACTTTTTAATATAAATTCTTAAAAATTCACACCCGTCACTGAATCAGACATAATTTTTCTTCTTCTTCTTCTTCGTCTTATTACTATGGTAAATTCTGTATTTAGTACTTAAACTATCAATTTTGATCTTTTTTAGTAACTAAACTTTCAATTTTTTCAAAATCTACCTAATTTTTAGTTTTTGTTTCATTTTAGTGTCTTGCCATTAAAAACTTAACACGTTTTGTACCTAAAATATCAGTTTTAGTCCTTTTAGTACCTAAACTTTCAAAAAATTTCTAAAAATTAACGTTAAATTTTGAACGAGGTAATAAAATGAAACAAAAACTAAACTCTAAGTATGATTTTGAAAAAATTGAAAGTTTTGCTACTAAAACTGACCAATACTAATAGTTTAGGTATCAAATGCATAATTTACCCTTACTACTATTACGAAACTTTGTTTGCCAACCTTAGGTATCAATCTGAGATAAAAATAAATTTAGATACTAATTTAAAAAATGTCGAGTTTAAGAATTAATTTGTATAATAAATAAATTTTCAGACGCCTTAGCATTCTTCCTTCTAATAAGGAAATGCCACGTGTCGAATCAGCTGCCAGTCTTGAAACCGGCTACACTTCTGTACACCCGGAGCAGCCCCACGTTGACCAAATCAAACTTTCAAGGAAGCAGAACAGAACCGAATCTGCCAATAAAAAACATTTACGATCTTTGTCTTCTCGTAGTCCCAAAACAAAAACAAAAACAGAAAAATGGAACATTTTCAATCTCACAGGGTCCAAGTTGTAACCGTAGCTGTTGCCTTGGCTGCCGTAGGTGCTGCCACGGCTTATTATCTTTATGTTTCGAAGAAACCCAGAAAAGGTACCTTTTTTTCTTCTTCTTCTTCTTCATCGTCATCATTCTTCATTATATATGTATATATAAGGAAGAAAATGATTTCAATTGTGTTTTGGGGCTTGTGTTAACAGAGAGCGAAATGGGATTTCTGTATAAATTGGTTTATGGTTTCATTGCTTGTGTTTTTGGGATTGTTTATTCTCTATAATTTCCATATCTCCGTACAGATTACAGAAGGCGCTGTTTCAACCAGCTGCTTGGATCCTGAAGAATTCAAGGAATTCAAGCTCGTTAACGCACTTTTGGGGCTTCCAATTGGACAACATATGAGTTGCAGGTTTCTCATGACTGACTTTTATCGTCATCATCGAATGTTGATGCGTTATTTCTGCAACATTATATTTGTACGTTTCCAGTAATCTGATTGACGATGTATAACCCTAAATGCTGCACGTATTTAATTTTGTTTTCTTGAATAGAGGAAAGGATCAGAATGGTGAAGATGTTATCAAGGCATATACTCCAACAACTTTGGATTCAGATTTAGGGTACTTTGAACTAGTCATAAAGGTTTATATCCAGCATGCAATTGATGCTTTACATTTTTTCATGGTGTAATTTGTGTTCTTTCTTGCTTACATTAGTACATAATTTGGTTTTCATGCACCGTAGATGTATCCTCAAGGAAGGATGTCCCACCACTTCCGGGAGATGCGTGAAGGTGATTCTTTGGCTGTGAAGGGACCCAAGGTAAGTTTGATTACTGCTGTATTACATTATGTTACAAATACTATCTTTTTGTTTCCATGTTTTGGTTTCAAATCCCAGTTGTTGCTCCTTTACATACGATACTAATGTCGAAAACAAATTGGTGGTATTTAGTCTTAACCTATGATATCATGATTCTTCAACTTTTAATAGTTTTGGATTCTTCCTTAAAGAATTATCGATGATTGCAAAGAAAACCGAATCAGTAGTAAACATAGTGATCTTACATATATTTAAGGAAAGCTCTGGTGTAGGACTTTTAATAATGTGTATGTATGTGTGCAAATGCCTTACATTATGTCACTTTGTCTACGGTTGTCCTTTTAAATTATGAAATTGTGGCAAAATACACATTTGGAAGGGGGGAAAAATACACAAAGCACCCAGTGTTTTAGTTCCTTTTATGGGTGAAATAAGGTGACCTTTATTGCAATTTTGAAGCATGTCCTAATGTGTCATATACATTTGTCTCCTAGGAGAGACGTCTAAGGAATCGTATTCTACGATAAATATATGTTTGACTAACGGCTCATAATTTATATGCCTATATGATGCTTTCAGGGACGCTTCAAGTATCAACCTGGCCAAGTTAGATCATTTGGCATGCTGGCTGGGGGCACCGGCATCACTCCGATGTTCCAGGTTGGTTATTTTAGATCAAGGAGCTCGGCTACATCGAATGACTTTCCTTTTCTTCACAAGACTTTCTAGTTGATTTTAGTTTAATAATTTTCAGTTGTTGTTCAGGTTGCTAGAGCCATATTAGAAAACCCAAATGACAAGACCAACATTCATCTTATTTATGCCAATGTTGCTTACGAGGACATCCTGTTAAAGGTGGGTTCCGTTTCTCGATTAATAAAGATTTGCAAAATTGAAAATTCTCAGACCTTGGAGCAACAAAGGGATGCCCGGGACTAGACTGTTTTCTGATAGGAGCAATCTAATTCAAACTCATTGTTTTTCAGGAAGAGCTCGATGAGCTGACCAGTAGATTTCCTGATCATATCTCCGTCTACTATGTTCTGAATCAGGTATACAAGTCAACCGTTCATTTTTTTTTACCTTCTCGGCATCCACATTGTCGATGAGCTCATTTTTTTTCCTGAATGTTTAAAAATCATGGTTCAGCCACCGGAAGGATGGGATGGTGGTGTAGGGTTCATATCCAAGGAAATGATTCAAGCCCATTTCCCCGCCCCTGCTGAAGATATCAAGGTAAATCTTTCATCCATCCCCACTTTCTTTGTCCGACGTATCATTTTATGTAATGGTCGTTGCAGTGATTCGATTTCCCACTCCATTGTTACAGATTTTGAGGTGCGGACCGCCTCCGATGAACAAGGCAATGGCCGCCAATCTTGAAGCTCTCGGATACTCTTCCGAAATGCAATTCCAGTTTTAAGTCTCCATTCTTATGTCATAGCCTGCAATTTTTTAAAATGAATCAAGTGATGGTCAATCACCAAAGGAAAACTCAGTCCATAATATGGTTGGGACTCGAATGATCTTTTAGCATTGGGTTTTCTCCCATAATAATGATTGTTAGGATGCAAACCATTTGATATTTGATGCTGTATTTCATTCCTTGAAATAGAAAATGATCAAATCCCGTAATTGATAATTCAATACCCCGTTTTGAATTTTGCTTGCTTTGCCTCTGGGAAATTACCCAATTTTCCAATTGTGTTGATTTGGGAAATGACCCAATTTTTCATTGATTACGATTTATACTTTAAAGAGTTTTATTAAATGTTTTATTAGCTAATTTTTTTCATTATTTTCGGAGGAGGCAAGTATAACTTCCCACAAATTGTAGTCCAAACGGGATTCACTTAATTTTTTTTTTTGAATAGGATTCACTTAACTTATTTAACCCAAACTGCTTTACTGTTATAACTTTGAGAGAGATGAAATTGATTGATTTGATAGAATGCCAATATGGTCACAATTAATATTAAGTCCTGATCATCTCATGTGATGATGATAAAAAAAACATAGTGAGAGTAATATTATACTAGTATATTTTATGTATAATATTAAATATTTTAAGTTTCAAGCATAACGAATATAAAAAAAAGTTGTATTGGTATAGCATTTTCGTATTATTAAATATTTTATATTTATCGTATCTTATTTTCATAGCCAAGGGGTAGACAAAAGGAAGTGATATTTTTAGCATAATAAAACTCAAAGATCACGCCATTGTCTTTTCATCATTAGGAGCTGCCGAACTTATAAAAGAAAAAAGGTATTGTAAGAAGCAAATGAAGTTATTTTTTGAATTCTCGATATAGCATATCAAAGGCAAAAATAAATGAATTTTATTATAATTATTACAATAGAAATGACAAAAGCCTATTATCTTCAGTATCCATATAGTGCGTGTAAACTTTCCTTATAAATCTAACCCTTTCCACAACCTCTCCAACTGAAGAAACCGAAAGAGTTCCAAACAGAGCTTATATGGAAATAATGAAAGCATATTTCCTGTTTACAACTTAGCTCTAACACACACACCTCTCTCCCTCTTATCCACCCACCCATTTACCCTACTTGGAAGAAATTAAAAAGAAAATTACTCTACATCTTATGACTAGTAGCATAAGGCATTATGTCAAATATATTTTTTCCCTAAAAGTGTGCAAGGATTTCACATTCCTATGTCAAATTTGAGTAGGCACAAAAAGCTGGGATGAGAGGAGCAAACCTTTAGCCAGTCAGATTGTGATTTCTGCAAATATCTATCCCTTTTTCTTTTTGTAACAGCAGCCTCCATGTCAAAATAATGTCATCTCTATCTTGCAAACTCGATGAAAAAAAAAAAGCAGGATTGGGGGCCAACTAATCGTCGTCATCCGTTATCAAGGCAAATGAGAAAGGTTTGAACTTGTATCCATCACCATGGTAGAATTTATTTTGAAATTCTACCCAGTGTAGACGCAAGGCGTGAAGGAAAGCGCTAAGGGTCTCCATCATGAGTAGGATGAAGGCAGTTGCAAAGGCAAAAACTGCTAGCCCAATTAATCGAATCGCGATGTTGTCATACCTGTAGTAATCAGTATTCAGGTCATTACCAAATTAGCCATCAGAGAGTAAACAAACATCAGATAAGAGAATAGTGACCGTGCTTGTACACATTAGGCACATCAAAACATGACATGTAATAGTATTGTAGTTCCAATTCCATGCAAAATACTATTGTTTCCCTATGACATACTGACTAATGCTCCAACTAAAGAGTTCATTTTGAAGTTATTAAGCTCGAGCACAAAAACCATGATTGGCTTGACTGAGAAGCAATACTTCAATAGCCTAAAGTTTGTTGTACTGTATCATACAATAAACAGCTACTTCAGTTTTAATTTATGGCCCTATACGATAAGAATGCAAATGAGGCACATGTGCTCATGTAGCGTTCTGGCCCGGAAAAGAAGTTAAATTAGGCTCCAATCATTGCTCATGCAGCGTTCTGACCCAGAAAAGAAGTTGAATTCGGCTCCAGTCATTGTAGAGTCGAGCTCGAGCTATTGAGCGAGTTGAATTTGGGGATTTTAATACTTAAATAGCTTGTCGACCTAATCGACCTTTTTTATTTTTATTTTTTAATTGATATTGGAAAATCTCAATTTGAATTTGAAGTAAATAATCAAATTTGAAGCAAGTACGAGTGTTGGGCTTATCTTTTACTAGATAAAAGATTAACTAAGCCTAATACAGCAAGTTCAAGCAATTTATTGATTATTATTTTTATCTCAATTTGGGTTGAGTTTTAAAAACCCAAATCAATTTAGTGATTTCATTCACATTTTTTCCACCAAGAAAATTTTATAGAACTCTTGGACCCCCAAAAAAAAACTTGATCAAGCTCGAGCTGAACTTTGAGCCTCAAATTTGAGACAAGCTTCTTACAACATGAGTTCTGTTCAGTTCTCCTATACAGTGGTTTACTTCAATTGTCATGCACCCAGAATCGGAATATATAAACCATAAACTAGCTATGGAACAGGGACAAATGGAAAGGAGTTGGAATATACACGACTATAGCATGCACCATTTATAAAATTAAAAGAACTCACCTCCAGGAAAGTTGTAGGACTTTCTCGTAGAAAACTGTCGATAATTCAGAGTGTGCCAAGCTGTAATGTATTAGAAGCAGACAATAACTTAACATTTATTTAAGAAACAGTGGAAAACATTCAAACTGATAAAACTAGAGGTCTACCTTAAAGCCCAAAGCCGAAGATATGATGCAGTGTTCGAGACAGCACCTAGAACAAACTCAATGGAATGTATCATTTGGTGCACAAAAACCTCACTAAAGTTGAACTCCTCATGATGTTCCCGTGCAGAATCAGGTTCCACATCAGGATCAGACTCGGAGATAAGCATGCCATAGTTGCGACCTTGAAATCTCTAAAACATATTGAAGGAAATATCATCACATAGCAAGATATTTATGTGAACTCTTCTAAATTTATTCTAAAAATCTGAGATGAGAAAGAGAACTAAGCACAAAAAGTCTTCTAGTGCGATTACTAATCACAAAAAAGTATCCAAAAATGCTTTAAACATGCAAAAAGGAAACTAAGAATTCTTAGTTGTCATTATGCAGATCAAAGTTAGAAGCATTTAATAATATCTTGGAAAACAAGAACCGGAAATACCAATTATATAATAATAGAACATCCCTAGACTAATACACAATTATTGGTTCCCATGCGATACACCAAAATTTAAAGGCACTTGATTATCCAAAACTCCACATCATAGCCACATAGTCAACACTAATCGAAATTGAAGTAAGAGTTATTCAAATCATTTCTTTTCTGAAACAGAGTTTTCGATATAATTTATAATTCAGTTAATGTTGAACCAGATGCTAGCACACGCTGGAAAGGGTTATGGTAATCAAAATATTTGGCACAAAAAATTATGATCTAAGGAGCTTATCCAACCCATGTTACAGCCGATGCAATTTACAGTCTTGCAAACAGATTGTAATCTCTAAAGAATGGGCATGCTCCGCATAGATGAAAATGTTTACAATTTGATTACCAATCTTATACTCAATTCTTCACTCATTTACGTTTAAACCATTATCCAGGGGAGGATTTACCAATTGAGAAATAGCAAAATATTACAGGATAAGAAGATAAGTCAACAAAATCCACATGGCATGCCAACCATTCAGTTCAACACTCTGGCTGGCTCATTTTAGAGGGGAATTTTATTAGGAAAACAAAACCTTAAAAGTAAACTAGCTAAGTATTATAAAAAAAATAAATGTTAGTCGTATAAGCTATAAAAATTAGCAAAATTGCTTAATGAAAGAAAACTCAGCAACAGAGTACCTCGGAATGAAGCTTCTTCAAAATAAAAGGTTTAGGAAAAAGCATCCACGGAACTGCAACTAATGCCAAAAGTAGCAACACAATCTGTGCACGCGTTAAGCAACAATAGACAGCTGTGAAGTCTTGAAACATAACAGCATGGCAAATAACAGTCTGCAACAGTAACCAGAAGAGACAAAATCATACCTGAAGTGGTCTCTGGCCCCAAAACAACTCATTATCACCAAGATCATCAGTGGGACTCAAAAACATATAGATCATCACATGATAAAGGTCCGCTTGAGAGCCAGTGCACCACTTGATTATAATGAGAAGCGAAAGATAACCAAAAAGGGAGTTGAGAAATATAATCTGTGGTACAAACTGATACCTAACAACAAGATGCAAAGTAAGTTTCAGTTCCATAATATAAAGAAAGCAAGTGGAAAACAGGTTACAAGTCGGAGGAAGAAAAACAGACCTAATATCCAGGGAGTTGTGAAAAAAGCGTGCATTGAAATAACTTAATATGATTCCTAGGTTCATCTGGGCCACACCCAGCAAAATTGACATCTTCATTTTAAGAGAGTTAAGAAAAGGCAACTCTGAACGACTTCCACGCCAACTTGGATCCAGACCAAATGGGTATGGATCTCGAAATTTGATTAAACCGACAGAGTGTGCACCACTGAAACAAAAAATATAACAGTGGAGTACCAAAATTAATTGAAGAAAAAGAATGCTCATCTTTATACATGAGAGATTGTTAGTCTGCCCGACTACAGCTAATCTGAATCTCAAACATTTGTACAAAACCAGTGGTTTAAGTTAGTATGTGCAAACCGAGTTAGTCTCCCTTTGTTAACACATTAAAGTTACAACCAAGATATTTGCACATAACTTAGAAATACCAACTCGGGGTTGAAAAATATAAAGAAAACAAGAAATAAACCCAACTGATCTTATCATAAATAAACATAAAGAAGATCGGTAAAGGTTGATTCAAATGTGCAGTCCCCAAAGTATAAAAAATAAATTTTATTTCACCTGCACTGCAAATACTATCCACAAATACTTGCAGAAAGAAAGAAATAGAAAACCATTGAGAAATCAAGAAAAAGTTTGCATCCAAAATCGCAGTTATGAAAATTAAAAAAGAGGTGCTTCCAAAAGACGCTAGGACAAAAGAAGACATCTGATTAAATAGAACATATTTAATCTTTCTAGTAAGTAATGAAATCTAAAAGTAGAAATATGAACCTGCAGGTTGCATCTCGGCACTTGTAAGCAGAACCACCAAATATGTAGAAGGGAACAGAGAAGAATTCATTGTAAATCAACCCACAATAAATTGAAAAAAGTGACATTAAAAGGAGTACGTAACGCCCCCCAAATAGCATCTCCATAAAGCTTCCAAGTTTCTGTAAGGTATCAAACGCATAAATTAGATTAGTATACATGCTACAGATAAACTTTGGCCAGGTTAAAAGTGACACAATAATTATAACCATTTAGCAGCAAAATCATAGAGCATAAAATGTTATCCTATCAAGAAATGTAAATTACTTATCTATAAAATAAACTAAGCATGCCAACAAAGAAGGGAAAAAAAGAAGAAATAATCATCACACCCGAGTCCTCATTAACTTATTAGTGTAATAACATCAATTCCATTCCAATTTCCTTTCTCACTTTGAAGCAGATGCTTTGCTCTTTCACTGAAAAGTAAAATGAAATCTTATAGTCCTCTGTTTTCCCAAGATCCAGTCCTAACAGGATTCTTGATGGGTAATTTGACCGATAGGCAACAATAATAGGAGAAAATGATATGTTGCAACATTAGTCACACACTAAACAGAACAGAGGAACATTTCCATTTAGAAGATATTCATAAACCTGTATTTCAGATTTTTTTTTACCGATCAGACCAGTTTCCACAGTATGACATTATCAATGGGTCAGCTCAACTATTCAATCATCATTGAAGTAGGAATTAGTAATTAACTATAAAATGAAAATGTGTCAAAGTCTAACTAAAATGCTCCAATCAGAAATCCTACCCTTTAAGAACAATTTCCTGTCCAGTATTCATACCATAACCATAACAGTTTCTGTATTATACACATAAAACATTGCCTGTTACTTTCATCTCTAAAAATGATATATTTGCAGACATACCTGAGCACTGAGTCGGCTTTCTCGAGCTATGAGGACCAATGCTCCTAATAGCAAGCATATTCCATGGCCCCAATCGCCAAACATCACCGCAAAAAGAAATGGAAAAGTAATAACAGTGTATACTGCAGGATTTGCCTCCTGATATCTAGCAACACTGCAAAATGTTCTCATATTACTATCCTGATATCAAGTAAAAATTGCAATTCTAAACATATAAACAGTCTATGCTGAAAATACTATGGTTTATCAAATTGATCCAGAATAAATGAAGTAGTAGTCAGGAAACAGAGGAGATTCACCTTTGACATATTACAGTGCCATTAGATAAATTTTTTAACAACTAGATCTATGGTTAGGAAGCAAACAATGTTGGCCGAGCAACAGGAGTCATCCACCACCTCCCAAAAAGAAAAGAAAAAGCATCTTATATTTACCATCTAAAACATAAACCATCCATATACTTGAAAGTTATAGATGAACACAATAAGATTCTTAATACAAGATAATCAACCTAATTAAAATGAGTTGCTTATACAATTTTGTCGAAACTATCAACATAAAGCATGTCGAGTTAAAGCAGCAAAGTGTAAAGCTAGAACTCACCCATATGCATCAACAATCTCCTGATATGCATTTGTGAAATGGTTGGTTCTGAAAAATGTAGGAGGTGATTCTACAGCATCCATCACATGAAAAATTATACCAACTTGTGAATTGCTATCAACTGTTGCCCGTTGCAGTGCTTCTTGAACCTGTAAGGCAAAGAAACCTATTTCCTCAATTCTAAGGCCAAAAAGCTATAACAGAAGATCATTGTGGAAAAGAGAAAAAAATGATAAATGCTAGTTACAAAGAAACTAAATTAAGAATGATGATGCATAAGAGATACCTTAGGTTGTGCAAATATAGGGCACCATCCCTCCCCAACAAGACATTTCTTTGTAACATCAAAATTCAACATATTCAATGTATCAAACACAGCTTTCTCCCTTCGTACCTGGTTTAAAACAAAAAAGAAATCACAAGGGTCTTAGTTGAAAATACTACAGCATCAAATTTATCCTACTTATAGGATTTTCATATGCTAGTTAAGTAGTTTTGCATGTCGAGATGTTCATTTTCCTGGCAGAGGAAACAAATATACGAGACAAGCTGCACTCACAAGTACATCTTACCATGCTCATCCATTGTGTTAGATGGTATCCAATTGAAGTCAGAACTTTATTTTGATGGCGAATACTGGCATCCAATGTGACCTCTAATTCAGAAAGGCGTGACAAGACCTATGCCAAAAAAACAAAACATTAACCAGAAAAATTCAGATTTCTATAATTCCAACTAATAACAAGCATGTGAGAAATATTGATAGGCAAGTGAAAAGGTAAAAAGAACCAAATTAAATTAAAGTTCGTATTTGCTCTTTTATATTCCAGAACAAAAGAGACAATATATTTACATATAACAGTTGGGTGATCTCCTCAAAGAATCAAGAATATCCATTTAAGGCTTGGTTGTGAAGCTGCATACTTGTGCTTCATATTTTCAGCTGGAAAACAAAATAGTTAACCTCCTAGACGTTGCACTTACTTCTCTAATTATTTTCCTTTGTTTACTGAAGTCATCAGGAACAGGATAGCAATTAGCACCAAATGCTTCACAAATTTTCAAAATCTTTGTTCTTGCCTGTTCTCCGGAGAAAAAAACTACAAACACTGTTTTCTCTACCTGCAAAGATGAATAGAAATGGAAAATTGTAAAGTTGATATCAATGCTGCATCAATGTAGCTAGAAAAAAGAAATACAATAAACCTCTTTGGATGTAGACAATCCAGATAAAGAATTGTACCAGATAACATAACAACTTCCAAATGAAAATAACTGATATAATATTTAGCAACACAATAGGTGACTATGAGTAGGAAAATGAAACCTTTTCAGCTGATAAAGGATCCATGATTTCTTCACCAGCCGGTGCCTGATTGAAAAGCATATTACCTCTGGTAGCACGAAATAACATCCTCTCAAATCTTAGAGCCTTGGATTTACAAATAATCCCGCTGATGAATCTTAACCCAGATTGGTCTGCAGTCCTCATTTCCTGTACGGTGAATAATCATATAGTAGATAGAACCATAAAATAGACTTGAAAAAAAGCAATTAATCACAGGGTCAACAACTACCTGTTCAATTAATGATGATGCCTCGTCATAACTATGATTAGAGTGCACATTCTCAGTTAATTCCCTTTCCTCGGCAACAGCATAGTTATTACCAGACACAAGAAAACTACCTGCCTGGAATTTGAGAAATATGTATCAGAAGGCATTCAATATTCAACACAAAAAATTGGTTACCTAAATATTCCATAAATGTAGCATTAAAAATATAAACTGAAAAGAGTACACATATTCGACAAGGTTACATATCAATACCACAGATAATAGTATTCACTTCATATTGTCACTTCCCTTGTTATCTTTACTATTTTCTTTCCATTTCTTCCCTTCTGGTTCATCTATTAGTTTACTATCATGTTTCAATGAGCAAGTCACACATACGGTCATCAAAGAGCTTAATTTCTTGTAAACAATGGCTTGAATACGAACATGTTATAAAGTTTAAAACTATTCACTGACACAATGGCTTTAGAAATTCAATCATATGGTGGAATAATAAAGATTAGATGTCATTTAATGGAGGAAGAAAAGCAAAACCCTCAAATGACTGTTAGCAGTGAAGAAGGATAGAAATCATTAAAAAAATGCAATAATGCTATGTTATTCTGGAACTTGAATTTTGTTGAAGTACCTGTGTCCGAAACCCATTTTGGACATATATATGAACATGGGAATGGGGATATGACCTTTTAAGTATCCTCAAAATACAAATTTAGAACGTACTTGAATCTGATGCTCACACCCAAATCCGAATAACACGAACAATTGGTAACCACAAAAGAAATATAAACATATAAGAAGAAATGAGTCAGAAATTCACCTTTAGCAAAACTATCTTGAACTCCAGGAGCTCATTGTATGTTTGTCGAAGTTTTTCACTGTTGGAGTTCATTTCAATTAGCTCATTTTCATGCTCGGCAAGTAGTATCTGAAATTGTAACAAAAACAAATTTGATAATCCTTATTCGAGAGTAATAATTGCATTAACTATTATTGCATTCAATAGATTATTACTTTATGTAAGTGGTGGAATAACAGAAAACACACACAAAGCAAGTCAAAGTGGGGAATGGAAGTAGAGAAAATGAACCTCTAATTCCTCCAATTCCACATCCGGCTCCACAACAGGGTGTATTGAGGATTGTAGGCCAGCTTTAACAATTTGGTCTTTGAAAAACCGTAGTTTCCTTGACATTTCTCCACAACGCTTCACCTGTTGAGACCTCTGAGGAATTAAGGGAACTACAATAGTTGGTAATCAGAAACTATAGTGTTTTTTTTTCTGATAAAATGGGAGGCCTTGTTAAAAATCCCCTTCATAACTGTCAAGCTACAAGAGTGGCTCAACGGACATTGGAAGGAGGAAAAGAGTGCCTCAAAATTTTATTGCATAGATACCACGTACAAGAAGAGTACAATACCACCAAACACAACCTGACTACCACCTCAAAAATGACCAACATTAAACTACAGAAACACAGCAATTACCAAACCCAACTCAAGAAAACTATATCCTAAAAACAATCAACCAAATGCAAGCATAACACAATTAAAAAGAGATATATCCAAAATAAAGTTGACATCAATGAGGCATGATTAGCAATTTCCTTCTATGTAAATATCAAAATAAGCCAAGCATAACATAATTAACAATCCACAAAAGCATAGTAGAAAGGGGTCAAACTGCACCATGGGAAAATAAATTCTACACCACTTCTAATAACGTCACCTTATATAAAGGTGCCAACTAGCTAAGCTAGTAGTGTCATTTGGTCTATAAAGTAAGAAAGAAAGAAATAGGGACAATTCCAAGCTTCTCTATGGATGAGGAGGTTAACTGAAAGGAAGGGAAGGGCCAGCCACTGGAGATAACAAAAATGTTGACTTAGTCATTCTCCTCTCATGACTTAAAAGGAAGAGAGTTAGTAAATAAAACTGATGCTTAATATGCAAAAAAAAATTAAACCAGCATCGGTTTATTCATCCTAACTGTTCACTACAACCCAAAAGGGATCAAACAAACAAGCCAGGCCAGGCCAGCATATTCAGTTTGATTCATTCTGAAGGGAAAGGAAATATTAAGAATTGAAAGAATGCCCAACTTTACTGACCATGCACAATTGTTAATCAGTACTTCATACTCAATCATTAGAATACACATTAATAATCGATAACAAGGACACAGAATTAGGCTTGGTAGATACCTGATTAACAAATGCTCTTTGGAAAGGACTTTTCTCAGCGTTTAGCTGCCACATGGGAGACAAAGCATAAAACCATTAGCATATTTAATTGATGATAACAAAAGCAACGTTCTAAACTTGTTTAACAATTAGCAGACATGCAGAACCTTGCCCCCCACCCCCAAAAAAGTAAAACAAAGGTTTACACTGCAAGACTCATGAAATCAACAGAAATTTGAATCATTAGGTTGATAGAAAGTCATTTTAAATACATCAAATCAAATGCTCAGTTATTATCAAAGCACAATCCCTTAACATTTTGGCATGAAATTGCACCTCTAAATAATCTGTCAACTAGATAGTTGTGGTGATTCACACATAAAAATGTGGTTATATTTTGATATGGAGCAAGCTCACTGAAAATATTAAATTCTATTTTACATTAGGGAAATTCAACACTAGGTATAAAATTATCATGGTATTACCTACAAAGGAACACACTACAAACTGCCATGATAAGTTCAAGCGAGTCCTAAAGATGCTTAAATTCCAAAATATCTCCAACAAAGTCATAAACAAAAAGATCCCTTAATCAGAAAATATTTAATAGGATAACTTCCTTGCTCTGAGTCTAACGCCTGGCATACCTTAACTAGATCCGCAATAGTAACACATCTCAAATCAAACAGGGTACTGATATACAAAACTGATTCAGCGAGAATCTCAAATCCTCGTCAAACTCAATCACTCAAATATCAAATCAAATCCGCATCGACTTCAACACACATTTTAAAAGCAGGAAAACATTAGCAACCAAAAAATCGAATAACAAGCTCTCCCACTATAATTGAACGTAAAATTCAACTACTTAAAAAGAGAAATTTCATTTCCAATCGATGCCAAACAAATAAGATAAACGGAACAAAATCCTAAATTAGCCTTCGCATCAAAGAAATGATTAAAACTAAAGCAGCATGAGCACAAAAGAGAAACGGATCTGAGTATAGATAAAAACATACATCTCGGAGCTGGAGGAGACCGAGTTCACCAAGATAAGAAACGGCTCGGTGAGCGGACTCGACAGGAATAATGAGTTGAACAAGCGTCATTTTCTCCGACCGCATCAGATCCATTGGAGACAAGTTGTCTACGAATTTATCCATCGTTTACCTTCTTCTCCCTCTCTCTCTTGACAATCAAACGGAAATAAATGGGGTTTGAATCTGAGTTTTTAGATTTGAATACAGTTTTTTTTGGCGGTTTACGAGAGAGTAAGTGTGTTTGTTTTCAATTCCCAAATCGCAACTGCCATTGAAGATTTGAAACTCTCATAAATAGGTAAATTCGATTTTTTTTCACTTTTTAAAGGAAGCAAAAAAAAAAAATTGTTAGTTAATTAAAGGTCATAGTCCAGCAAGGAGTTTGCCATGGGAATACGGCGCAGTTTCGGATCCTTATGATTAAAGCAGTTGACTTTCTTAGTGGTACGAGGTTCATTTTTTTCATAGATTAACTAAATTATTTTGGCTTATATAACAAATTGGTTTGTTTTTAATATACAATGAATAAAATATTATTTTAACTGATATTTATTTGAAAAATTATAGTAATCAAATAAGTATTTATGCATTCTCATATTAATTATTTATATGTGCAATAGTTTTAAGGATAAACTATACCAATTACCGCTTAACAATAACTCATTTTCATTTTGACCACAATTTTTGAAATTTGTCAATCATGTTATTCAACTATTTAAATGTATTTAATCATACTATTTTTCGTTAACTGTTGGAAGTGTTAACGCGGCATTTAGTAAAATTGGTATAATCACATATTTGGTCACTCTTACTTTATATTCTATCAATTTGGTCCTAATTTTAATAAATTAAAATAAATTAATTTTCCAATTGAATGATGACAAATAAAATTAAAGCATCAAGATGGGGGCATATGACTCAAACATAGGCCACTTGGGAGAAAAGAAGGAAGCTCAACCACATTGTTTGGTTTAAAATAGACTACATGTAATATATATCTTATATCTTAGTATAATCTTAGATTTTTAATATTATATATATCTTAACTTAAATTCACATCTTAATATTAAAAATATATTTTATTATTATCTTAACTAAAGTAAAAATATATATTTTAGTCTAAATTTATATTTATATTTTTTAAATTCATATCTTAAATTCATATTTTTATTTTCTAAATTCATATCTTAAATTCATATTTTTATTTTTAAAATTTATATATTTTATTTTTTAATATATTTTTGAATTCGTATATTAAGAATTTAAGATTACACTAAGATATAAGATATATACAACATGCAGTCTACTTTGAACCAAACAATTAACTTGACCTGGTGGTTGAGCTTCCTTCTTCTCCCCCAAGTGGCCTATGTTTGAGTTTTATGCCCCTCTTTGGAAGATTAATTTTATTTTAATATATTAAAATTGTGATCAAAACTTGTGATCAAAATAAAACTGGGGTAATAGTTGGGTGATTAAATACATGGTTTACCCTATTTTTTATTTACTTAACTATGACAAGTACTTCTCTATATTTGACTTTTTAACTTGCAGATAGTGACGGTTATATTTTTAATTATAGAATTATAAAATTTATTTCAGTAGAAAAAAAAAAAGAAATTGTTTGATTAATTTATGTTGAATTTTGAAAGGGAGTTAGTGGCGCCTACAACGAAGCAGCTGATGAGAAGGCCTATCCGACTTGTGAACCTGTTCCTTGTGATCAATTCAATGCTGATTTAGCAGTAATTACTTCAACTCTTCTTTTCTCATTGGTAAATATTTCGTTTCCATGTTAGAATTTAGAAAATGAGACGCTATTTTTTTGAAATTGTAAGCATATTCGATTAGTCTTCATTAAGAACGGATTTTAATTATTGCTTTTAATTAGGCTGTTGAAAAGTGGTTAGTGGATGGAGCAGTATTACCAATCGAGAATTCCTTGGGTGGCAGTGTTCATCGAAATTATGACTTCATGCTCCGCCGTAGCTTGAACATTGTTGGGGAAGTTAAGCTTGCAGTGTTAGAAAAATTGCACTTAATGATATAGAAAACAATAATGATTAAAAATATCATTATAAAATATTAAAGGGATATAACGAGTTTTCTGTTTTAATAATCTGAGACGAAATCAATATTGAGAAAAATCAAACAAAGAAGTTAAACTTCGTAAAGTAATTCAAAATTAAATAGAAAGAAAAATACTCCTTTTATTTTGATCAATTGAGATCGGAATCAGTTGAGGTCTGTCACCACATAGTTTTCTTAGTACAAATTTTCGGTCACTCCTTTGGTGTTCGAGTTCGTTGGTCGTCTGTCTCCCAGGATACAACAACTTATGATCAACTAGAATAGCACATCTGTAGAGATCATGAACGATCCTTGCCTTCGACTATCACTGGAAAACTAGGAAGAAAAAGAATATTTTATAAGGAGAGAAAATATTTTTCAAGAGAATAAAAGTTATTGAATTCTCAGATGTGAAGAATTTAATATGTTTGCTCACTATTTATAGTGGATTTTCAAGAGAGATTTGATCCAACCAAATATCTTTAATATTCAACTTTAAACAGATAATAATATGTTTTAATTTGAAATATACATAAATATATAATTATCTTTAATATTCAAAGTTAAAAAAGGTAACAAATACCTTTTTAAATTGACATATTCAAAGAGTAATTATCCTACTAATATTTAAATTAAATAATATATTTAATTTGCAATAATCAAAAGATAAACTCCTTTTATTATTCAAACTTAAATATATATTATTTTAATTTAAAATATACAAAAATATATAATTATATTTTAATATTCAAAATTAAAAAGATAACAAATACATTTTTAAATTGATTCATTAAAAGAGTAATTATCTTACTAATATTTAAATTAAAAAACATCTTTTAATTTACAATAGTAAAAAAGGACTATAAATTTAATATAAATATTAAATCTATCGATTAAATTCACCCTTTTTCCAATATGCAGTCCGTCATTGCTTACTAGCCAATCATGGTGTTAGAGTCGAGGACTTAATAAGGGTTCTTAGTCATCCTCAGGTATGATCAACGATTGACGATAGGGGAGCATGCCTGTGTAAGTTTCAAATCATCATATATTTTCGATATTTTTCCTCATAATTTTTATTAATAATAGAACTTTATAAGTTCGCTTGTTAACATAATATTTGATATATTTGACCTGCTTGTTGACTAAGTTTCTTCTTGTTTTTAATATTATTTTTTCATGTCGATCACGTTCAGGGGCAGAGCATAGTGAGGGCCCAAAGGGGCCCCGACCCCTATGAAATTTGTATAATTGATATAATTTTGGTCTATTAGTATTTTGGTTCATGTAAAAATAAATATTTAAATTAAAAAATATTAAAAATTATTAAATATTTAATCAAGTAGGACCGAACTAATAAAGGATAATCCCGTGTTCTCAAAATTTTTGGTCTAATAACAATTTAGGTCATTGTAAGTCTTAATATTACACAGATTAAGTGTTATCTTGTGAATTTTGAGTTTTTTTCTTTTTTTATAAATATAGATATATGTACAAAGACTCACGATTATTTAACAATGAACGTTCATATCCCCACATGAGCAACGCTCAAACAGTAGACCTCAAGGATAACAACAATCCCTTAATCACTAAGGTTGCTTAGTTCATGCTGAATTTTGAGTTTAAATATTTAGTTCTGGTTTCGTCCCTGATCACATTCCAGGCTCTATCTTAGTGTGAGTACACGTTAACAAAGATGGGGTTGAGTAGAGAAGCAATTGATGATACTGCCCTTGCAGCAAAGGCGAGTCTTGATTTGAGCATAGAAAGTACAATGACATGAAAAATTATGTAAGCTTTGTAGCTGTTTGTTCCAAAGGAAGTGCATTATGTACTTTGGTTGTCTATGCATTGCATATATGAGGTAGGCAGTAACTGCATTATCTGGTTCAGTTCAGGTGGCTTCCTTAGTCATTCAAAATTGATAAAATATATTTTTAGGGTAAACTATGTATTTAGTCATCCAACTATTCTGGTAGTTTCGTTTGGTCACCTAACATTTTTTTCAAAATTATCACTTAACTTACATTTTTATTCCATTCTGGTTACCCATCATTAAAAAAATAAATAGAGTCACTTATGCGACATTTTTTTATTTTTTCAAAGACGATGTGATATTAACACATGTCACCGTTAATATTTTAATGACAAGTGATAAAAACGGAACAAAAACGTAAGTTTAGTGATGATTTTGAAAAAAAATGTAGCAGGTGACCAAAACGGAACCGCATGTGGTTTCCGAGAAACTAAAAGATACGGGAGCTTTTGCAAGTTCTACGGCTGCAAAAACATATGGACTGAACATTCTTGCTGAAGATATTCAGGTTTATGTCGATCATATTCGTTTTGTGTGGGATTTGTCAGAGCTTTGACATCTGGTATTCCTCCCTTTTTTGACAGGATGATTGTGACAATGTTACTCGATTTCTGATGCTGGCCAGGGAACTCATTATTCCTGGCGTGGAGAAGCCATTCAAGGTTAGCCTTTGAATCATTGTTGCATGCTCATGAATTATCTATTAATGCTGAATTTATGAATCATTGTTGCTCATGAATTTTCTATTAATTTGCAGACTAGTATAGTTGTCGCACTTGAGGATGTTCCTGGTGTTCTTTTCAAGGCACTTTCTGTTTTTGCTCTTCGGCAGATCAACCTTACAAAGGTCTTTTTAATATAAATTCTGTGTGGATTCTTCAAGTTACTTTGCAAATCTACATTTAAAAGGGTGCATTAAAATCCTATATTTATTTGTTACCATTGACCAGATTGAAAGCCGTCCCTTGGGGAACCAGCCTTTCAGACTGTCTGATGATAGCAACGGTAATTCGAGTAAAATATCACTTTTTTGGTTCAAAGTGGCTTTTACTAAAATTGATGAATTATATATACCGTTTTTCTACAACCAACCATTTGGGTTTTGCCTAAACGGACTTCAAGTTAATTCGTTGTATCAGATATTTTGACTGCATTTTCTATGTGGACTTGGAAGCATCCATGGCTGAGAAGAGAGCACAGAATGCCCTAAGACATCTACACGTATATTGCTCTGCCTCTTCCATAACCATTCAAAAGCACTGGTTGTTAGAAATCTAACGAAATGTTCCCTGGGCAGGAGTTTGCAACTTCCTTGCGTGTTCTGGGGAGCTATCCAGTGGATACTA